TACTGGTCACATGTGCTCACTCCAGTGCTTCGGTCTGGACTTTCCCATGCATATTTGGTTTGCTTTCTTCTTGGCTGCCAGCATTGCCTCTATGCCTTAGCCTTGACCAGTGAGAAACTCCTGCTCCTGTTTATTCGGCAGACACTTGGCTCAGCCAGTGTCTGCCATTTGTCAAGTATGTGTATGTATATGTTTGTGTACACATGCACATGTGAGGTATTATATCTCGGCGCTCTTACTAGGTAAGGCTAGCAGTTTGCTTGTGACCCAAAAGTGATAAGAAAAGTGAGCAGCTGCTATTAGGCTACTATATAAGTTCAAGCAGAGGGCATCTTCTGGCAGCTTCCACACCTTCTCTCTAAGAATAGCTCTTCTTCCTACACCTTCCCTCTTCACTCCAGGCTGATGCTGACCATGATTGCCAAAGAATAACAAAATCTCCAGACAATACTGGCTTGAGATATCATCACACAGACTAAACAATGGGTCTAGACTCATCAGTAGTACATGTTTCTATATGCTTATGACCCATAACTAACTACTATTACCTTATTGTTTATATCAATGTGTGAGACTTTTCTATGTGAATGTGCATCTATCTAAACAATGTATAAATATGTATACATATTTACCTTATATTTATACAGTAAAATTTTATTAAATCATGTGTTGCATATATGTGTGTAGATATGTGTCTATATCTATAGCACATATTTTAATACATAGTTACAGTTTAAAATTTTTGCACATTTTCTAGTTCATGAATCAAATTACATGTACCGTAATAGCAAAATAATGTTTTTATCTCAATATAAATTTAAATTTATAAAAACAATATAAAAATTGTCTTACCTAGAGAAGGTATTTTTAATTTGTTAAAGGAATTTAAGTATATATTGTCAACAACTATGAATCTTCCTATAAACTTTATTTATTACTGAATATATAAGAAATAATTCTATAATTAATTTAATAAGTAAATATAGCGTCTTAGATTTACTTTACATATTTCTTTTACATTTTATTTGAAAAAGCATTTTTGCTTACCATATAATATATGTTCCTTTTAGGAAAAAAAAATATACAACAATGAAGGGAGTTAAAATACCCATAGTCTTGCAAGTTAGATATAACCAATGTTACTATATTTTAGTCTCTCATTCTGTCCCTATGTTTTCCATAAAAATTATTATACTACATAGAGTCTCAAATTTTACTTTCTTAAAAATCACATGTGAAATTCCTCAAACCCTTAAAGATTCTTTAGAAAAAGTTTTAATGAAAGCATTCTATTTAATGATATGGATATATATTATGATTTCTTGTTAACTTATAAATTAATACATACTGTTTAGTGAATCATTTCTATATCTACAAACATTAATATTTATATAAGCAGGAAGATTTTATGAAAATGCTTTTATATATTAAAATATTTAGTATTGTTTATAGTGTTTTACCATTAGCTAAATAACAAGTTTATTTTTAAATGTTTCAAAGCTTTCTATACCTCTTTTACTTTTCATTCAATACCTCATAAATATATTTTTCATATCATTTTTTTTAACAAGGAGTTCTAATCACAATGTTATAGTATTTGGGTCAAATTCATGTTTCCAAATATTAGTTTCTGGGGAGGTGAAAACTGGATGCTCCAAGGTCTGTGGAAGTAGGTGGGGCTGTCAGTCCCTACACCATAGGCTTCAGGCTGATAGGACCACTATAATGAGGACTGGAACTATTTTCGTATCTTTTCCCTCTGCTGTCAAGTAGAAATTCTTCCCTCTACCAGTATATCCAAATTACTTTTAAACCTCCAGCTAAATTGTAGTCAGTTCTGCTATCAAACATTTGTTGAAAATGTAAATTTGTTTTAATGTAATTGATATATTAAACAAGAATATGAGAATAATTCAAATGTTGTGTTTGTTTATGTATGATTTCATCAATAGAAAACACTAGATAAATGCAGAAAACTGTACCCAACTGAAACCAGTTGCGTAAAAATATACAGAACACACACACACAGCATAAACATCTACCAGCCACCTCCATTTGCCTTAACACACCCACACACTATTTACATTTGGTGTTACAAATTTCTGTCTTATTTGATAACTCTCTTTTTGCCACGTCATCATAACTCCTATGCTGTATGCACTCCAAAGCCCACACTCTCAGAAGGAAATTTCAGATCTTTTTCAAGATAAGTGCTTGTGTATTTCTTAATCCCTTAATGTGTGTAAAAGTATGGTATCATTTTATTGAGTTCGTATATTTTTTAATGTGTCCAGAGATATATAATGCTGATATTTGACAACATTTTTGTGTGTTGTGTCCCAGTCTGTTTTTTCCCCTAAGCTTTGTGGGATCTATTATGCCATTTTACATAGTGAGGTAATTTTTTTAAACGCATAATAGTACATCATAATAGTACAGCTGGCTGCATGTACAGTCTCTGGGGGAAACCTTGTGCATGTGCAATGCAAGAGCTATCTTCTTTTAATCTCAGAAACATTTCAAATTATTGTTTAGGTTCAAAATTGTTTTCTGGGAGAGGAATTTCTAATGTTGACTTTGTATACATTGGAACAATGTGTGTGTGTCTCTAAATAACTGGTTATTTTTCCAGCTTCAGATTCTAGAGAGGTTTTCCCTTTGCATCTAGATGTTTTTGTTTAAGAGGACTGAGTCCTTCCTTCTCTACCATCCACTCCTAGTCACTCTGATAACTCTGCCATCTATCATATTTTATTTTTACATTTCAGTATCTTGAAATTATCTAATACACATGAGAGCATTGTATATATTACATTATATTACTTGTTCATTGTTCCTATTAGAATATGTACTTTATGAAGTCAGACATTTTATGTCTTATTCACACTCATATTTTCTATTGCTTTAAGCAGTGTACACCACATAAAGATTAATAAGTATTCTGCAAACCATAAACCCCTTTTATGTGTTTAACATGAAAAATTTTTCAGACACTTCCTTGTATATGTCCATCTGAGATTATCTCAGAATTCCCCTACTAGGCAGGCATCAGTCTAGCATGCATTTTCAAAATACTATTAGTTTCTTGGGAAATAGGTAAACAAATTTATAATGATTCAGAGACCAAATTTCGAACTTTGCTTTTTATGCTAACTTCTAGTCAGTTTTTTGTTTCTTTTTTCTAAACTTCAATTATTTCATTTAAATGAATGTCTACGAATAGCTCCTGAAATACAGTAGCTTGAGTGGTAATAGAGAAGGGCAGGGATGTGTTGCTTCTTGACAAATACCAACTGAACATGTAATTAGAGGTGCTAGTTGGGTTAGGCGGGCCAGACCTGTGAAGTCACCTAAGAGATCCTTGCTAAATAAAATGGAGTTGCTCACAACATATGCTGAAAATCAAGGGTTGAGTTGTAGCAAACATTTATCTAGTGCCCCCTAATGGCAATGGCCAGTGCTAGCTGCTGAAGGAATAAAATGAAAAAATAAAAATCCTCACTTAAATGAGTGTCGAACTTGGTGAGAAAGGCATAAAGTGTCACAAGTAAGCACAATGCCAAATTCTAATTATGTGTTGTTTAAAGGGGTGACAAAGGGTCATCAAGGAAAAGAGTGCCTACTATTGAATAAGTGCCTTTGGGTTGAGGAAAGTAAGGTAGATTTGACGTGGACTGACCGTGGAAGGGGTGCTGTGCCTGTCAAATGCCTGCGTTCTCCCAAATCCATCTCCCACCCCTCCTCAGCTCCGCTTTGTATTTCCGTAAACAACTTTCCCCAGACCCCACTGCCCACTGACTTGTGGCTGGGTTTAGGCAGTGGGAAGCATAGACAGCAGCTGAGAGGACCAGAACTAGGGAAGAGGCAAGCTACTTCTCCTCTGCTTAGGCGGCATTGCGGTCAGAAGTCATGTCTCCTCGATGGCTCCAACTCCTGCCAGACACGTCTTTCATGACTTCATCTTCAACCTGGTGGACCAGGATCCACAGCTCTGGAAATACCTGTGTCCCTCCAGCCCGGGGAAGTCAGAGGCCTCCAGTTTCAGCACTTCATGACTCATGTAACAAATTTCCGGTACGAACTCCCATCTGTTTGAAATGCCCAGGGAAGCTTTCTGTTTGCCTGACTGAAGCCTGTCTGACACAGGCAATATAATGTTCCTGATGGGGAGGAGCTGCATGTACCCTGGAAATGAGTGAAGGTTGGAAGGATTTAACCTGTGAGAAAGGAAAAGTTAAAGGCAACCTAAAACAATGGGAAGCTTCATGCATGCTGAGACTGTGCTAATGAGGCAACATCATTCTGAGTCTGGCACCTCTTCTGAAATGCTAAGGGGAAGTTTGTGCCTGCACAAATGTGTCAACCAAATATCAGCACCAAATGATGACCAGAGAGAGATGGCACTTATGTAGGCAAGCCATGGGCTGAAAAGATTTGGACTTAGTCTATCTCTTTACTTTCTGCTAATCAAATATTTGAGACTCTGAGGAATGAATTCATCCACTCAAACTACCAGAGCTGGATGAGGACTTCTTCCTCCAAATTATATGCATGAGGACACTAAAGCTTTTGTATTTTGAAGTGATTTTTCTTCAAGGTTACACAGCTGTCACAGCCAGAGGAGAACTCCCCTCTCAGGATTCCAGGTTCACAGCTGTTTTTACTCTATCATCTGAGCCTTTACCACTTTCCAAGTTTGGAGTGATATTTAACCAGTTTGGACTAATTTTTAAGTAGCATAAAGTAATTTAATAAAATAACAGATGTTGTATAGTTAATTGAAATGCAGGTAGAATTCAGGCAGTAGAATACTAAGACTCTACTATATCAGTAAAGAAAAACAAACAAACAAAACAACAAACCTGAGCCTGTGGTGTTTGTTATATTCTCATGCAAGTAGCCTTTACAAAATCCTGTAGATATATCACTTCTTTATCTAGACTGAACACTAAGGGTTTGGAATAACAATAATTAAAAAAAAAAAACATCTTGAGGCAGACTTTAGAGACATTATCTGTTTAATAAATATGATTGCAAAAGCAATAAACAGGAGCAATTATACATTACACTACATAGTATTTAACAAAAAATACATAAAAAAGTCATTTTAAAATTAGAACTAGTTCCAATACTATAAGAAAACTTTCATTTTTTTAAATGGGCTTCCTATAAAAATAAGTTGGCAAATGAGGGATTTCAATGCTCAGTTGGAATCCTGGAAAACACAGAACAGCTGCCAAGCACCCCATTGCTCTCAAAGTTGCTGTTTGGAACTTCTGAAAAAAAGCAAAGTAAACCTCTGCATTTTGGACAGTGAACCCAATTAAAAATAAGGCAAGGGAGATAATGTTGGTTGGGTAGTTCAGGGTAAAGCATGCACAGTTTGCCTTCTGAGATTTTGGAACACATTGCGGTATCAGATTTTTAGCTTGCCCTGAATCTTACCTTCCACATACATTCCTCCCCACATACTCCTCTGACCTTAAGCCCACCAAACTCCTCACTGTGTTTGCACCTGCTATTAGCGAGTAGGTAGGCACTTGGGACCCTCCCATTTGTAGACTTTCATCACTACTTTCTCTTTGAGATTCAGCTGGAACGGTCTAGTACAGTGGTTCCCAAACTTTAGTGTGCATCACAATCATGTGGGAAGCTTGTTAAAACAGATTGCTGGGCTAATAATCACTTAACAATGGAGAATACCACGATTCATACCCTAGAGTTTCTAATGTTGTAGGTACAGAGCATGGCTCCAAAATGTACATTTCTAACAAGCCCAAGGTGATGCTGATATTGGTGTACTGAGGACCACACTTAGAGAACCACCAGCCAAGTTCCTAAGAACAATGAGATCCCCTCTAGCAGTACCTTGTCTCACTAATCTCCAGCACATGGGAGGAGGCTTTGAGGAGAGGCACATGAGGACACCGGAGATGCTGAATCTATATCTGGCTATCATTGGTCACTTTTCAAAATGCCAGGCATCTCATGTCCACCTCTATTTTTAATTAGAATTTACAACCCATTCATCTCTATGTCTTTTCATTTATTTCGTCAAACAAATAATTTTCAGAACACTACTCTAGGCAAGGCACTGTGCTAGATTAAGAATGCTAATTCTTTTTTCTTTCTTTCTTTCTTTCTTTTTTTTTTTTTACAATTTTCTAATTAAAATGAATTGAACTGCAACTCTGAGGAATCCCTGTGCTGATTTGGCTGAGTCTCTCTTGGTGTTCAAACACTTTGTCTTCCAGATTAAAACTGGGAGGCTCCAACTGAAGAAGATCAATGAGGATGTTTCCTATGAGATAGGAAGCCTGGCAGGTTGGGGATTGAGTTCTACAAATAGGTGGCTGCCTCAGGCATAATCTATTTCCCAGATTCATGTGGGGCACCCTCAACCGTACAAATTTCTGCTTGATTAACTTCTGACAGCAGCTTTGTTACTCTTTCCCTGCCTGAGCTACACAAGGGCAAAGTTATTAGGACTTCAGAGCATCCCCATTATCACCAGAACCTCTCTCATGCCCTGTTGTTGGCTTGGGGACATAGCAAAAAAAGGAGGCTGGACTCTCTAAGTGGTTTATCAGAACTGCTTTCTCCTATAATTTAGAGTGGGCTTTGCCCAATAATGGTGAAGGGGTTTCTGCTGAACAGGTTTTTGTGTCTTCTTTCTCTGGGCCTTCCTTCATGATAGACCTGGGAAAACTGGAATTTCTTCATGCTTTGAGACAATCTGCTTTGAAACAATCCGGTTTGCTAATCGCTAACTTTCCCATTTATACTGTCTTATTCTTCCTTTAATGATACTATTATACTCAAAAATCGGAGAGCACACATGTAACATTACTGGGATCATCCTAAATAATCAAACTTTCATCCAAATGTAAGATGAGATCTCCATGTAGTCTCTGACTTCTTGACATTAGGTCCTTAACCTGCTTCTCCTGGTTAAAATCAGTTTTATTTCACAAATATTTCTATTCTACTGTGAGAGAGAAAATATTGGATAACAGTAACCATCACAGGAGGAAACTTCCCTGCAACATAGTCCCACATTCTCACAAGAATCTTCTGGAATCAGACTGCGTGAGATTTTTTGTTAAGATATAAGAACACCACTATTCATCTGTGAGTTTTCTTTTCCAAAGTACATGACTAGGTTTGAAACACTTTGCATATATCAACTCTTTCACATACATTATATGTTTCCAAGGGGGAAAAGGCAGAGATATTGGGAAAAGGCAGCTTCTAGAGGAAGAGACAAAGGATACATAAAACTGCACCCTGCTGTGTGGGATACAGCGAGGTCAGTGTGCACAGAAGCTGGCATGCTTGGTAATGTACAAAACTGACAAAGAGATCAGAAGCTTGCGAGTGGTAGGGGCAGGGTCAACAGAGGCTAAGCCAGTATTTAGGAAATGTCAGGGTTAATGTCCAGAATCTATTAACATGTTTGGGAAGAAAAAGTTGGAGTTGCTGAAGGATAACTTGGGGAGTAGAAGAAAGGGATTAAAAAATATCATCAGATTATGGCCACATATAGATGGCAAATAAATGGGAAGGTAAGACAATGGTCAACTAATGGGATTCCATTTTTCACATATGTTGAGGCAGGAATAGGGAAAGTTACAGGGGAAACCAGTGATGGTGGGAAGAGGTAAACAGGAAACAAAGGTTCATTTCTTACATGCTTTGCCTCCCTGCCTCCCTTCCTTCCCTATTTGACATGCATACATGGATCTTCAACTCACATCCTTGCCCCAGTGGCCACAGAGAATGGAGAAAGCAGTTCTGTGGCCACTTCTGACCAACACAGCTACCAAAATTAACTTATAAGGGAAAATGACAATAAGGAAAATGGAACAGAGAAACAGCTCAGGGTTTCAAACTCCTGTGCATGTCTTGGTGTCTTATGAAAGAAGCTGGAGTGGCTAATCCACCCATCAGCTTTTACTGCTAAAATAGTTGTTAAATCTAGAGCCAAGAATACTTCCAAAAATACATGCAGATTTTCTTGGCCTATATATGTTATGAATTTTCTACAAACACGACCGATCAGAAAAAGAGAGAGAAGAAAGAGGAAGGGGAGTGTTTTCCATTAAAATAGAGCACCTGTACACTGCCCCTCCAGACATGTTTTCAAAGTATTGTCCACATGCACAGGCTTAAAGCTAAAAACCCTTGTTGTCTGTGTCTGAAGAATTAAAAAGTTCCGATGCAGTGAGTGTTTGTTAGTTTGTTTGGATTTTGATTGTTTTTATTTTATTTTTTGTTTTGTTTTATTTTTTACTGTCGTCCTCCATTCAAACATTTACATAGGTAGGGATTTCTTTTGTGCTTTGATTCTCAGCAACTATGGAAATACTTCCTGGCAAAATAGGAAACAGAACAACAAAGGAAAGAAAAAAAAAGTTAGTGGTCATGAAAGATGATGCACTTGACAAGAGCGAAATTCTTTCCTGATCAGCAGGTCGCCTGTAGCCTTTGGGGGTTTTTCTTAAATTGCAAATTGTACCCCAGCAGATCCCCGCTTTGGCGTTGAAGGTGGAGTAGCTTGTCTTGCTCTTTGCAATCGGAGAGATGAGTCACCAGGTTGAGAAGAAGGGGAGGGAGGGGAGGGTAAAGCTACTCTCCTAAGAGAAAATGTGTAACACTTACTTATTTAATGACACTGGAAATGGAAAGGTGTCAGAGACTTTGCAATGTGCTGCATTATGTTCCTGGTGAAGGAGGAATTGCTACTTTAATAAAGCAAACAGAGAATGTGCTTCATACCCTGTGGAAATGGGACTGAACGCCAAATGACCCCTCCCCAACCCCCCCCAAAAATGTTCTTAGACACTTTAGAAGTGAATAGACAGGGAGAATGCTTCTCTGGACTTGAAGACAGAAAAGACTTTTTTTCTTTGTAACCCAAAGCAATTATGCATTTATCACCCTGTCTCCAAATAAAAGAAAGTGCACTGTGAAAATTGGACACCAGATGTGTTTGCAGTTGTTATCATTATCTACGTTTTGAGCCCATTATTAGCATTTAGATTTCCCATAATACAGTCACAGACTTTTCCCATATCCATTTAAAGGGGGTGAGGGGTTATATTTCCATTTACATACTCATTTTTTCCCAAGCAATACCAAACATTTTATGTAAAGGCCTTCTAGGTGGTTTGGCATTATTACATTAGAGTGAAGCATGAATCATTATATAGTAATTTAATCCATCATAGCAATGTAGGATCTAGCACATTTACAACTTCAACTTCTAACGACAACAGACAGGAGGAACTAAGGAGAGAAATGAAACAGTACTGGTGGTCCTATGGATTTGTCTAACTTTCTGGAAAATTTCTTCTGTAATAAATAGCAGGACTTAGCGGGTGAACTTCAGCCACTCTATACCTAGCTGCTGTCGTCCCATGCTTACTTCACAGCCAGAGACAGCTCTGTTGAAATATGTTGAAGTTCGTGTTAAGATTTCTGGTAAAGGACAGTTAAAAAGAGGAAGAAATCTGCCAATTTGCTCTGTAATTGTCTATCTCTCCATGGTCTCCCTCAGAATGCTTCACTCCTGGTTGTTCTGCAAACTTTATGCCTCTTATCCTCAAGTTCTTTATAATTTTACAAGTTATCACACTCCATGTTTTCTGAGAGAAAGTTTGTAGACTACTGCTAGATATTAAAAAAAAAAATTTCCAGGTGATCAGGCTTGCCATTTGCACTATGTTACCCATTTACTAGCATTCTGGAGCAGTTTGTTCTCCTTAGAGCTACACCTAGCTGAGGCTGTCATATTTGCTTCTAGTCAATACATACCTGTCCCTCAAACCCTGCCCGGCTCTCCAATCCACCAGTCCCAGCCTCTGAGTCCTCTCCTTCTTATATATTGTTAGAGCTTTGCTCTTTGCCCATAAACATTTGAAGCCCAATATTTTAGAGAGGGTTTTTGCAAAAGAGGAATACACTAATGGGGGGGGGGGGGGGGGGGGGCGAGAAGCAAGAAGTTATTTTTTTTACCCTCATCCCAATGAAAGGAAGCAGGGAAAGAGGCATCTTAGCTGTTTCTCTCAAGGGTGTTAGAGCAGAAAAAAGTAGTTATGTTAAGCCAGAAAGGGGTTAGAGAGAAAATCAGCCATTGCCTACTCAGGCTGAATAGCTGATGGCTACTGGGAATCATTTACCTATGAGCTGAGACTCCACCTTCTCATCTATAAGCTGGCCAGGCCTCCTTAGTTCAGTCTGAGGGATATTGGGCCTGCTTTCAGAGTGACTGACTGGACTGATCATCTCTTGTTCTTTCTCATTCTGCATCTGGGCATAAACATTAATCCCCGGAATCTTCCTAAAACATTAACAGAAACCATCACTGCTATGCACATCACTATGATGAATGCTTCTGAACCTGTCAGGGAGAGGAAAGAGGTAGAGGGGACACAGGTGGAGGGACACGCACCTTTTAAACTTATAGATGACGAAGACTGCCAGCCCCACAAACACCACTGAGAGCAGCATCAGCATGGCAGATCCACTGTGGGTTGGAGTGAGATCCACCAAGGGAGCTGGGAAAGAAAATGAGGCAGGGTTATGGGCAAAGACCTGGTGAGACTTTGTGAGAGGCTCAGGTGGTTCACACACAGGTATGGGGGGCCTCAGAAAACCATATGGGGCATACATACAAGGTACATGTCACATGGCTAACATTGGATGCAGCTGAGCCTGTCCTACCTCCAGAAAGCTCCAGCTGACATGTTACAGCACCACAGTGGAACAATGAATAGCATAGATCCTGGGGCCAGACTGCTTGAATTCAAGCCCTGCCTTGTGGGCTGTGTGATCTTGGGCAGGTTACTTCACCTTAATGCACTTTATGTAGTAAGATAAAAATAACAGTACATACTCCATTGGGTTGTTATGAGTATTAAAGTATTATTAAGGTATGTAAATGTATTTAAAGTCTGAGAAAAGTACCAGATACATAGTAATGATTATACATACTATAATCATTAAGCTTTATTTCCACTGCTAATATTGTTAATCAATATTTATAGAAATATGATAATATTATTTTCTGTACTCCGAATGCAGGCTTTTCCCACTAAGCAGAACACGTTACCAATAAAACCTCCAACAGGAATATTTTTGTGAATTAGACAACCCCTCTCATCCATACTCCAGGTGTTGTTATGTGAGAGAAAGTAATGCAAAGTGTTGGGCATGCTTATATTTTTACACATAGGAAACTGATGGCTACATGAATATTTTACAAGGGCAGCCACTGTGATTCTAGGAAAGGCATGTGCAATCCAGTTGTCTCCACAACTTCCCAAAGCCCTGACAGACCATACCAAGAAGCTCCAGCCTCTCAAATGCAGTGAGTTCTCCTTTCAGACAAAACAGAAGCCTCTGCATCCATAAAAGAGTCTTCCCTTAAAATGCAGTCTAGAAAACATCTCTCTTCACCTCTAAACCCTCTTTTATCACATGGTCAAACCTGTTGTACTTTACAATTAATGTCTACTCTCTTAAAAACTGACATTTTGCAAATATAGCATACCTCAAGCATAAAAGACAAGCCATATGTATCCTGTGGAAACCTGGATGCTGACCTTTACCTTCCATCAATTTAAACAAGGCTTGATACCCAGGAATGGAGGTGACCTTTAAGTACAATTTTTTGTGACTTTTTTCTATTGAGAGCTGAGAGGGCAATGTTCTCGTCACCTTGGTAAAAAGTTCAAGAGTAAGTGACTGTAACACTGATGGTCAAAGACAAGACTCTCGCTGCTTCTTCTCTGTCTGGTTTTTGCAGGATTATATCCCAGTCATGCAGTGACCATACTGGAAAGCATATTCCACATATTCACAGAATTTTGGTGAAAAATGAAAGTCAAACCTTCTTTCTCAGAAAATAGTCTGAGTCATTTTAGGTGAATTGACTTTTAGGTGGCACTGAATAAGAAACTCTCTGCTATCTTCTTCCCCCATGAGTCAAGTGTCACTTTACTTGTGAAGTGAGAGTGTGTGAGTCCGTGGGTGAGAAGATGGGTGTGGGGCCATGCAGTGGAACACCCAAGGCAAATTATGTTCAGTTCAAAATTTTAAAATAAAGTTCTCAGTGTCATCAGCAAAAAAGTCTAGAAATTCTTCAGAACTCCCCCTGCAATTGACAGGATGCGACCAGTGGGAGAAAATACACCTTCGATTTTTCATAGATCTTATCAAAATTAATTAACATAAATGGAAGGCAGGGACTATGATGCCATTCAACAGAAGAGAACAGTGAAGTTTTCATTGGTTAATGTCATTTTAAAGAACTCAGAACTAGTGAGTGGAAGAACAAAGACTTTAGCCATCACACACACACACACACACACACACACACACACACACACACATTTTTTATGTATACTCAACCTTGAGCTAAATTCAGTGGGAGAAATTATTTATTTATTTTTAAAAAGATGTGTGGTACAATTCAGGGTTAGGTATACAAATTGTGCAGGTGTGCCACCCCCTTCCCTGGCAGTTTCCCTCATCTGCCAATCCCACCCCACCTCCCTTGGAGGTTTCCCGTTACTGCCAATTTCTTTCTTATAGTATTATGATACTTGCTCAAGGTCTGCTTATGAGTGGAAACATATGGGACTCTGTTCTTTGTTTCTGTAATAGATCACTGAGTATAATAGACTCTAAATCCATCCAAGTTGCTACGAAGACAGTGGGAGAAATTTAAAAATATTTCGGAGGAAGTGGATTAGTGCTAAGCCTTTGTACAAGAATAAAATTAACAAATGGTGCAAGTTAAAATATTAAGCTCTAAAAGGAGCAGTTAGAATAATAAATCATACATTCTTTAACTTGGATGGAAGGTATGTATGTGATGTGTGTGTGTATATATATAGAGAGAGAGAGTCAGAGAGAGAAAGAGGAAGAGAGAGAATAGAGAATTGAAACCTCATGTATCTTCCATCCGGCTTCAACAACCAATCTTATTTTATCTTCACAGCCATCCATTTCCCACAGCCTCCAATCACTGGATTGTTTTGAAGCAAATCTCAGAAAACAATATTTCATCATCTGTAAATCTAAAAAAACCAAGATCTCTCTCTCTCATCACTGTGCAATACGATCATCACCTCAAAAAAATTATAATAGAAAGATATTTTAAAGGCAGTCTTCTAATGTAAACCCCTAATTTGACAGGGAACAAATGGAAATCAGGAGAAGAGCCATAGATGGTTAGTTTGGACAGAAGAAAACATAAAGTTAACTTTTCACTCCTAGTTAAACACTCTTTTAACATAACCAGAATACCAGTGTTGTTGTGTTAGTTACTAACACAATGGAGTTACTAAGAAGAATATTGGGTAAGATGGCGACGGCACAGGGGGGACTGTGAGATTCTCGGAAAGTGAGTTCCCATAACGACTCTTGCTTTCGTCTCCCCACCCCCCGCCCACTGCCAGCCACACCGGTCCCAGACCTGGAGACCCTAGGTCCCACGCACGGCTGGCTACCACAGCCCCTCTGCTGCTGCTGCTGCGCCCCAGGCAGGCCTGGCCCCAGCCGCGGGAGCTCCCAGCTCCCTCCCCGGCTGAATACGCTGATCCGCCTGGCACCCAGCAGCTGCCAGCTCCCTCCCTGGCTGGGCGCCCAGCCCAGTCTCAGGCTGTGGCAGCCTATGGAGGCCCTCCACACCTGCTCCTCGGAACTGCAGGCTCCATCCCTTCCTGGGGCGACCTGCTAGGCCCAAGGCCGCTGCTGGCCACACAGACCCACTGCGCCCGCGCCTCAGAACTCTGCACCGCCACCCCGGCTGAAGCGCCCAAAGCCGAGACCGGTGCTCGCCCCTCAGAGTTCTGGGTCCCCGCCCTGGGTTCCGGTCCCGCCCATCCCTATCTCAAGCCGCCACCACCCAGGGAGGCTCTAGGTGCCCGCCCTCAGAGACACCGGCGCCATTCCTGGCTAAAGTGCCCTGCGTGCGGCCCAAAGTCACTGCAGCTGCCTGCCGCCCACCCTTCAGAAATCTGGGTTCCCGCTCTGGCTGAGGCGCACAATCCCATCTCAAGCCCCCGTTGCCCAGGGTGGCCGTGGCACCCTCCCTTTGGGGCTGCGGGCTCCATCCCTTCCTGGGGCGCCCCACCAAGCCCAAAGCCCCCGCTGCCCACGCAGACCTCCAGCACCCGCGCCTCGGAACTCTGCGCCGCCACCCGGGCTGAAGTGCCCAAAGCCGCAGCCAGTGCTCGCCCCTCAGAGTTCTGGGTCCTCCCCTGGGTTATGGGTCCCTGCCCAGCCCCATCTCAAGCCGCCGCCGCCCAGGGAGGCTCTGGGCGCCCGCCCCGCAGAGACACCAGCTCCATTCCTGGTTGAAGTGCCCTGCGCGGGGTCCAAAGCCGCTGCCGCCACATGCCACCCACCCTTCAGAGCTCTGTGTCCTCAGTCTGGCTGAGACGCCCAACCCTATCTCAAGTCACCATTTCCCAGGGTGGTCATGACGCCCACCCCTCGGAGCTGCGGGCTACATCCCTTCCTGGGGGCCCCAATGGGTCCAAGGCCGCTGCTGTCCATGCAGGCCCCCAGCGTCCACACCTGGGAACTCTGCACCTGCGCCCTGCGCTGAATGAAGCGCCCGATCCCGCCTTGAGCCGCCACCGTGGAGGCCCAGGTGCCCGTGCCTCGGAGCTCTGGGCCCCCACCTGGACTGAAGTCCCCAACTCCACCTCGAGCTGCCACCCCCACGGAGGCCCCGGGTTTCCAAGCCCGGGTGCCTCGGAACTCCAGGCCCCTATCCAGGTGCTTCCCAGTTCCAGGTCCCTGCCCTGGCTGAAGCACCCAACCCGGCCTTGAGCTGCCGCTGTCTGCAGAGTCCCTACATGCCCGCCCCTCAGAGCCACGGACATTGCCCCTGACTAAAGTGCCCCACCTGGCCCCAAGCCTCCACACCCACAGAGGTCCAAGGCTCCTTCCCCGTGGGGCTCCCTTGGTGGCCACACCACCCCGCCCCCTAGCCACCTTGACCAATACACTGACCTGACCAGCAATGCCCAGCAGTCTTGCACTCCACTTCCCCCAACTGGTCCCTGACTACAACGGGACCAGAGAACAGCCAGAGCCCTGTGATCAGGCAGAGACTCGCAGTGACTCACCCACACGGCAAGAAAAAAAGGTTAGACTACCTGCCAGGGAATACCAAACAGAATAGGAGCAGATTTATCTACAGAAACCCTTTAGGCTAGGAGAGCTTGGAGTCCAATATTCAAAGTTCTCAAAGATAAACAATTTCAACCAAGAATAACCTACCCAACCAAGTTAAGCTTAATCAGTGAGGGAGAATTAAAATCTTTCTCAGACATCCAATCCCTAAGAACTTATGCTGCCTCCAGACTAACCCTACAAGAAACTATTAAACACAAGAAAGGGGAAAAAGAAAACAATATTCTTCACAAGAGAGCAGGAAAAAGATTGAAAACACACATGAACCAACCCCAAAAACCAAAAGAAAGACAACAAACTAACAAGTACAACAACAACTCTATAAGAACATCATGACAAAAATAAA